AGTTGCCACTTCTGTATGTATAAAATGTGTACACAGTTGTATGAGCCCCTAATAAAATGATTTTTTTAAAAGTGTACACAGTTATTTAATCCCAATTTACTGGTAACTCTACATTAAAATAAGGAACCCTGGTAATGTAATAGATTAGGTATTGGGCTGATAACCCAATGTCCGCAGTTCAAGCCCACCAGTGAGAATGCTCCACAAAGAACCAAATAAAGGAATATAAGGATAAAAACTATTTTTGATCCCCCAAATCCTAAGTAAAAGGAAAGTTATGCAATCCCTTTTTTCCACCCTGGAGTAACTTTAAAAAATAACTGAAGACTGCACTTCATCTCTAACAGAAGTACCTCCATGGGGAGGTTGTGAGAAACTCTGCATTTCTATAGAATTTGAACCAATCTTTTAAAGCCTTGATGTCAAAGACTGTGATGATTTTTAAGGTGCAAAAAAAATATGCTCTTTTAATACCTGGTTTTCATCCACACAAAAATTCAAATACTCAAACTCAACTCTTATTCAAAGAAAAACATCCAAAAATTTTTTTGTTTTTTAAGTTTCAAAGGAAGAGAGATTGTCACTGACAACTACTGTTTTCCTACTGAAGCGCCCACAGAAGGTACCTCCTGGGCTCCTGGGATTAAGCTGTTTACTTGAGCTGGGTAAGTGCCAGAGCCGCTCACAAGGACCTGCCTCAAATAGACTTTGATGACTCAAAGGAAACTTCTCTTTTAAGACAACTACCCAGTCATCTGAAAATTACCTTAAAGGACCACAGCGAGGCTGGAGACTTGCACCTGGCTCTGCTGGAGAAACCGATCAACCCTCCTAGCAGAGCCCTCACTGCAGTCTCACAGAACACCTTTCCCCAGGCCTGCTTCCAAACGCACCATGCTGCTTTCTGGCAATTTCTGGAAGCGAGGGAACCACTGCTCCCAGTCTTCGTGCAGCCCCTTTGCACATTTGCTGGGCAGGCCACTTTGCAGCATGTTGTTATCACAGCACAACTCAGTACCCCTCTCTTTTCAAGAGAAAATGGCAGATGCCACATGATTTTTATAGCGACATTTTCTTTTTCATGAATTTAAGTCCTTAGAGATTATAACAGCTCTTTTGGACTCTGTCAAGCTTTGCACACATCTGGTGTGGATACCCTGGGCACCGTAATTACTAGGAGGAGCCCTGGCGGTGTAGCTGGGCTGCGATCCACACAGTTGGCAGTTGGATCCACCAGCAGCTCCACAGGAGAAAGACTGGACTTTCTACTCCCATAATAGTTATAGTCTCCGAAATCCACAGGGGGTTGCTATGAGTCAGCACTGACTCAACGGTTTTTTGGTTTGGTAATTGGTAGTAGAATCTGACAAAGCAGGAAACAGCAGGGGCCGGAAGCTGTGGACCGCTTCACAAGGTGCCAAGGTGGCAGAGTATGCAGGGCAGGGGTCACTGGCTGGGTTGTTTCCCTTTTCTCATACTGGTCCTCAATGTCCCAAAGCACTTTCTTAAGACTATAAAACCTTGATGGAAGCAAATTGCCTGGTCTTTCTCCTATGGAGCCCCTGGGTGAGTCTGAACTGCCAACCTCAGCTTATTCATTGTGCCAACAGGACTCCTTCCCTTACACTCCACTCACCCACTGCCCCCCCTCCCCCACCCACACAATGCACACATGCTATTCAGACCTGGAGTTGAATGTAATTACAGCTGACACATCCCCGTTCCATTTGGACTCAGGGAGACCTTAGATGCTTCAGAGGTAAGGTTTTCTTTGTCACCGTACTTCTTTCTGTGGCAGTAACATAACCCAAGGGTAAGAAGCCACAATTCTGGGCCTACTCTGGGTTTCTTCAATATTCAACATGCAAATAGCTAATGGGATGCTGAGAGCGGTCAAATGATATGAATGTGAACACCTTTTATAAATTTAGAAAAACCTGAGAAGTATCACCAGCAATCCTGGTTGAAAACAGTGATATTGCTTAGCAGTAGAAGCCATCCATCCCACTACACACACATTTGGGTGAATACTTCAAATTACTTATAAGGATGGGAGTTAACACCACCAGGGCCTCCAGGTACACACTTGCTTTTGTTTTGCTGAGTGGGACATTAAAGATTTGGATTCAGGGTTAAACTGTCTAGTCATCAGAAGCAAACAAACCCACTGCCATCAAGTGTACACTGACTCACAGCAACCTGAAATAGAAGCTCTGAGGTTGTGAAGCAGGTGCAGACAGCTCATCTAGTTTGAATGTCTGGTCATGTAGTTACCAGATAATGACAATTTGGACTAAAAGTAGGCAGACTCAAGAAATACCTGGGGGTCAGATCAAATAAGGCTTACCAATGACTTAAATGTGGGAAATAAGGGAGGGAGGCGGTGGTGATGGGGGGAGAGAAAGTCTAGACTAATTCCTAGGTTTGTGGCTTTAGTAATAAGTGGGTCATGATGAGTAATACCGAAATAGTCCAAGAAAATACTAAGGTTAGAAAGGTTGGATGGATAAATCCTTCAATAAATATTTACTGAGCTTCTATTATGTGAAGGTATAGCAGAGTATAAAATAAATACTAAATCTTGCCCTCAGAGTTTAGATCTTGGGAGGGTGGTGCCAATTAAACACATTAATATGGTGATAAGTGCTTTGATGTACAATAAAACAGGTTTAAGGAAGTTATTATTTTAATTGAATGGTCAAAGAATCTAAAGTGTGGGAGAGGCCTAATGGAAACAAAGGAGATAGCCCGGATGATTTCACAGAGAAACTGAGTTCCAGGCAGTCCTAATAAATTGCAAAGGCTCTTGGGCCACCACACTCTAGATAAATGTAAATAGGCACCAAGGCCTGGGCAGATAAAGAAAAATAAGCACGAGAATAGTCTGAGTTGGAAGAGTATAGAACTTTAGCTAAAGAGAAACCCCAGGGAGTTTAGAACTGAGGAATAGAGGAGTGGCCGCTAAACTAAGAAGGGCAAAGGTGAAAACTGAGAGGTCAGACACAATAATCCTGGGATGGAAGCTAGCAGTGGCAGGTCAAGAGTCAAGTTTGGAATAGGAGTTTCTGAGGAGCTGATAGGATTTGTTCCAAGGCCTGGATTGGTGTGTTTTTTTTAACGAAGAGCACTCTAGGATGAGTGACTAGGAGGGGTTTTTTGACCTGAGGCAAAGGAAGAGGTAGCCATTTAGTAGGTGGGGTCCAGTGAGCAACTCCTTGGGCTGATAACGTCAAGGTCAATGGTTGGAAACTATCAGCTCTGCTGGAGAAAGATGAGGCTTTTTACTACCAAGATTTACCATCTCAGATACCCACAGGAGCCGTTCTACCCTGAGGTGGGGTTTGGCATGAAAAGAAGAGATCTGTGAGGAAAGTAATAGCTCTTTTTCAAAGTTAAAGGGGCCCTGGTGGCACAGTGGCTACCCGTTGGCTTGCTAACTCCAAGGTCAGCAGTTCAAAACCACTAGCCACTTGGAGAGAAAGATGAGGCTTTCTGCTCCCATAGATTAAGCTGCACCTGTGGGACAATTCTACCCTGTCCTGCAGAGTTGCCATGACTCGATGGTAGTGAATTTTGCTTCCTTTAGGCAAGTTAAACTGGAGATATCCATTATAAGTTTAGGATTGAATTAGGTAGGTTTGTGTTTTCTGCATCTTGAAAGGTCTGGGTTGGAAATCTTAAATTGGGCACTTCGGCACTGAGATGGTATTTAAATTGTGGGAAGGAACCTAGCAGAGGCAGAGGATCCAGACCTGAATCCTTGCTATATTCCACTTGGGCACTTCCATGTCAAAATGAAATGAACTAAAGAGATTGCATCAGACAAATCTCAAAAGAGAAAGGAAGAATGAATCCTATCCATGATCACAATAATACAAAGAACTCAAAACATCACCAAATACCAAGACTGTATAGTGTAGTGGTTAAGTGCCTTGGTATATGAATCCAGAATGCCTAGATCGTTTCTGGTACCCCACTTATGGTTTGATCTTGGGCAAGGGACTGGCTGCAGTTTCCTGAGTAGTAAACTGGGGATACTAACTCACTGGGTTGTTGCACATGAATTAATACTGGAGGGTGCTTTGCGCTTCTGTGGAAACAACTAAAAAACATTATCCTACTACCATTAACTTATAAATTCTTGAAAGAAAAGTTGGGAGGCCCTGCAGCTAGCCACACTGCTTTCAAATCTCTAGACCAGGGGCTTAGATGTTTCTTTGGGTTTCAAAATACATTCCTAAGTTGAATGCTAAGAACTTGCCCTGGTGATGTAATGGTTACGCGTTGGGCTGCGATCCGCAGGGTCGGATGTTCGAAACCACTCGCAGTTCCACGGGAGAAAAACTGGGCTTGGCTTTCTACTCCTGTAAACAGTAACAGCCTTGGAAACCCACAGGGGCGTCACTCCGAGACAGACTCGATGGCAGCGAGTGAGAACTAAGCTTGTGGCACCCGGTCTGAGCTTTAAAGTCCAAACACGGCTCTAAACATCCAAGAGGGCGAAGGGGGGAAAAAAGAAAAAAAAAAGGCTAGTCGTACTTTATCACGTTAGTCAGCCTGGCAGATAATCACGTACACCTGTGACAAAAGCGTCAGACCGGAATCCCTCTTAATTAGTTCTGGTGTCTCCTCTAGAAGGACTATGAATGTGCCTTCGAAGGCAAAGGTTAACTCGAGCTTTTGAATGGGGGTGCTGCAAAGATCTGGTCATCATCCAGCTGCTGACAACAACTGGGAGGACTACTCCCTTTCCGGACTATGGAGAAGTACGGAGGGATGAGCCGACTCCTCCGGGGAGGCACTGGGCGAAACGGCGACCTTCTCCCACCTGCCCGCACCCCCACCCCTTCCTCTGGAAGCCGAGTGCCAGCGCACACAGCCACCTTCCCCTGCTCTCCTCGGGCTCCGGGGCTGAACAGGTGCCTGCAGCCCCAGCCTCTGGTCTCCGGGTCGGAGGAGCCAGCGGGCGAGAAACAATGGGGCCGTGGCGGCCGCCGTACCTCTCCCGGTCGCGGCCGTCGAAGTAGACGAAGTCGCCGTTCTGGACGCACTTGGCGCAGGTCAGCCGGCGGCGCGTGGTGTTGCACAGCGGACACCGCTCGACTGCCACGTACAGCCCTTCCGCGTCGTCCACCGAGTCCTCGAAGTCTCGGGCGAGCTGCCGGGAGCCGTAGCTGGGAGCCTCCGGCGCCCGGACTCCCTTCCCACTGGGAGACGCCATGATGGCCCGAGAGCACAGCCAGTCACGTGGGATTTTGTTTTCAACCAGGTGCATCCTGGGTGAGGAGGCGGGGCCAGGGCGGGGCCGGCCGGGCGCGCGGGGGTCCTGACCCGCAGGGGCTTCTGCCCCGCCCCTCGCCCCTCCTCCCGGACCCTCCCCTCCCCCGGCCGCGGCCGGGAAGGCCGGATGCCGTCAGTGCCCCGGTCCCCAGCGGGGAGAATTAGGATAGAGGGGCGAGTCCGCCAGACATGGCGTCATCTCCTGGATCATTCCGAGCCCACCACGAGGGAACGCCTCCAAGTTGTGCAAAACATAGTAACCCCATGAGTCGGAGCCGGCTCGACGGCTGCTAAGGACAACTGCAGGGATTCTGGGAAAACGGACTCGGGACCGAAGGAAGGGATTTTCCGAAGTCGCTGCAGATGCTTTTAAATTTGACTAAAACGACCGCAAAATTGGATGAATTTTGCCTTAGCTACTAACTCGGTGACGTAGGGGCAAATCCCATAACGTCTGAGCCTGTTTTCTCATCGGTTAAATGGAGATAATTACAGCACCTACCTAATGTCCTGAAGACTATGAGGTAAATAGTTTTAACAGTAATCACAGCTAACCAATGCTGAATGAGGAAGTCAAAACTGTACCATACAGAAAAGTGAATTTTAATTCATTAGCTGGCCAACACCCATCCCCTACTTGGGCCAGCTCCCCAAATTGAGACTTGATAGGTGGTTAGCATTTCCTTCCGTTTCTTTCGGGCGCGGGGTGGGGGCAAGTAAAGCGGGTCAGGGATTGTATCCGTTTAGTATTTGAATATGTCTCAGAACCACAGAAAGAACGTTCAGAGGTCATCCTGAAATTTACAAAGAATCGGAAACCTGTGACTGTCAGGTTAGAACCTTAAGGTTTCCAGCCCCCAAATAAAAACCTCCCCGCCATCCTGTGCATTCTGACTCATAGCATCCCTCCTGTCCTAGCGACCATGTAATTTTTTCTGGAGTGAAAGCCTCATCCTCTTCCCGGGCAGCAGCTGGTTATTTTCAAAGAAGCCAGTGTGTAATCCACTATATCACCTTGCCCCTCCCGGCGTCGCCGGGTGTGCTCAAATCTCGAGATGTTTTGCTGGTAACCAGCTAACTGTTTGCAGCACCAAGGAACGCCTCAAACAGTATACACCACGGAGGTTCAAGGATTATTTTAGTAGTCTAAATAAAGTTTCTCCCCTTCTCTCCCACATCCCAGACCCAGTAGTTTATGACTGCCTACTGCTGGGCATGCCTGAAAAATAACTCTCCACCCGAAGCCCAGCTTCCTGAATTTGGTGAAAGGCCAAGAGCCTAGGAATCCTGTTAGCCACACCCCTCCCTGACCACCTCCACCTCTCAGCCAGCATCCACTGCTGGTGATTCTAGAAAGAAGCTTTAAACCCAAACCCTGACTGCTCAAGTCGCAGCAAGTCGACTTTTAACAAAGTTAACCAGGATTTTAAAAGTAGGCAAAAGCAAAATGCCTTTGTTTCCAAAAATAAAGCTTACACTGAACCCAGATGGTTAAATGTTTAAGATTGGTAGGGAAGTCATTTCCTCCGATCATGGCAAGCAAAGATAGTTCATGTTCTTGAGGTTCAGGCTTTCATTGGTATTCCAACAATACCCGTATCCCAGTGCCTATTGCCTAATGGCTGGAACTATCTGCTTAGTATGAAATAAAGTAAAAAGACATTCCTTCTTGCCCTGCTAGATGGTAATGACACTATTTCTGCCGTTTTTTTAGGTACTGCTATATATTTCTTGGGAACACGTATTAATGTACATATCTACCAGGAGTGGAAGATTACATTTTAATGGAGCTGCAACATCATCTTTGCAAGGCCCTAGAACTCTTAAACTCTGGAGCAAGTGTAATTGTTTAGTTTAGAAAATACGCAGAAGTCATTTTGAATAATTTTTTTTATTTCTTAAGCATGGCTATTTATCGAATAAGGCAAAATATACATAGATGATCCATAATTAAATGTAGGAGAATCCAGCAGTTGCTTTGCTGTGCTTAAGTACATATTCAAATCGGTATACTGTGAGATGCTGAATGAGAAACTCTGGCTTTTTTAAAGCCCTTAAGGATAGGATAGATGTTTTCAAATGCTTCATAGATCTCGGAGCGTTCTTTGGCACCTAAAAAAAGGATCCAAGGTTATATCACTTTCATTATAAGAACAATACCTAGAAAGGTTCTTAATGCTACAATTTCATTGGGCCATCTCCATTTCTGTTGAACATGATTTCCATTAGGCATGCTGGAAACACGCTGTGGCATTTATTCTAAGGTATAAGCAAGAGAATTTGGTGCAGCCAGAGTCTCACAAAAAGCATACCCTATAGCCACAGGGTGCTTGATAGGAAATATGGACTATCCGTGGGCAAGACCATGATCTCACACGGACTTCGTTAGCACTTAAACTGAATACTTAACTGGGTGCTTAAACTGAGACCAAACCTGTTGCAATCCATTCTGACTCGGATGGACCCTGTGTTTGCAATTTGGGTCTTGGCTGTAATCCTTAAATGTTTGTTGTTGTTAAATTTAGAGATGGGTTGGTACTTAGCTATCAAAAAAAGGAACTTCTAATCCACTCACCTCTAGTTAACATCTTGATTCCCTAATGTGGACTAAATAAACATACAAACAAAAAACCTGCCCCTTGAGTCATCCTGAACCACAGTGACCTTAAAGAACACAGCAGAACTGCTTTTTGGGGTTCTCAAGATTGTCAAGCTTTATGCGAGCACAGAACCTCGTCTTTCTCCCTGGAGCAGCTGGTGAGCTCGAACTGCTGCCTTGTGGGTAGAAGCCCAACTCATAAGCTCAGAGGCCACCAGGGCTCCTGGTACCGGATAGTATCATGGGCAGGAAGCAAAGAGAATATGGGGAGGGGGGAAAGTTTGGAAAGGAAATATAGAAACTGGTAGCATGAAGAGAAATGGAAAATAACAATTTGGTAACGACTTCCTGGGTAGCTGGAAAGCTGGAGCGGAAGAAGTCTTCCAGAAGGCCCAGAATAACCCCACATCTCATCCAGCATCAAATGGTTGTGAGTGGTGATCTGAGTTAATTACAGGGGTGTTGTTGATGGTTGTGGTGTTACTAGGTTCTGTCAGCTAGATTCCTGGTGACTGAATAGAATTGCCCCAGGGTTTTCTTGGCCGTAATATTTCCAAAAGCAAAACAAGGCTTTTTGCTCTTAAGCTGCTGCGGCCTAGGTGGGTTCAGTGGACCAATGAAGTTTCAGTTAGCAGTCTAGTCTTGTCCCTAGCACCATCCGGGCTCCCTAACTTTAGGACCTGTTGGAGGACACTGAGTTGGTTGCCTCAGCAACCTTAGGGACAACAGAATGAAACACTGTTGCCATTCTCACAATCACTGTTTGACCCATTGTTCAGCCACTGTCAATCCATCTTGTGGAAAGTCCGCCTCATTTCCCCGGACCTTCTACCAAGCACGATGTCCTTTCTGAGGACTGGTCTTTCCTGATAACATTTCCAAAGAATGTGAGACAAAATCTCGCCACCTCGCTTCTCACGAGCATTCTGGCTGCGCTTCCTCCAAGACCGATGATTTGTTGGTTTTTCTGCCAGTGTGTCGTGCTTCCCATATTGATTGCCAACACCAAAACTCGAATGCATAATTCTTCAGTCTGCCATGTTCATTGTCCAGCTTACGTGTGCCTAGGAGGTGATCGATCGTCGAAACTCATGGAAGCAGCAGTCACGACATCAAGAGAATTCATTGCATCAGACAGTCTGCAAAGATATCCAAGGACGTCTTCGTTCTCAGACCCAAGCCATAGCATTGTCAATCACCTGGAATCAAAGATAGCAGCCTTCAGTCTGCACTGGGTCAGACACCCCTGAATCCTCAAAGGGACTTCCTTGTTCTTCAGGGCCTCTTTAGAGGTCTTGTGTGAGAGATCTGCCCAAGGCAATACATGGTTTGATCTCTTGACTTCCACAAGCATGGATTGTGGATCCACGCAAGACGGAAACCCTTGACAACTTCACTCTTTCCGCCATTTAGCATGCTGCCGTCTGGTGGTCCAGCTTTGAGGATTTTGACTTTCTTTACGTTTGTTTTGCAAGCCATACTGAAAGCCGCAGCCTTTGCTGAGACGACTGAAAACACCCTGGCCTGGGCCTGAGAACAGAGATGTCTTCAGATGTCTTTCTGGACTGTCTGTCTGATGCGAGACGTTCGCTTGAGTTTGTGACTGCTGCTTGTGTGGGTTGATTGTGGAGGGAGCAGACATTGAGGGTACATCATTAACGTGGAAACAACTTTAAACATAAAAGGAAAATTGTAAGGCACAACTTTCTTATCCGATTGATGAAGAAATGGAAGGCCCAAGAAGAGAGGTTACCCAGAACCATACTGTAGCTGTTCGGAGAGAAAAACTCATTCCAGTGTTCTTTCCATTACAACAGAAGTCGACGAGTAAGCGTGGCCAGGGTTTGGACAAAGTGTTATTATAATGAGAGGGTTTTGTCAGTTTAGTCCCGTGTTGCTCATTGAAAATTGCCATTGAAACCCATAAGCCCATTGCCATCGATTCTGACTCAATGATCCTATAGGGCATAAAAGAATTGCCCCATTGAGTTTCCAAGACTGTAACTATTCACAGAAGCAGAGGGGCCACCTCTTTCTCTCACAGAGTGTCTGGTGGGTTTGAACCAGGACCTTTTGGTTTGCAGCCAAGCCCTGTAACTGGCTAAAAATCCAAACCCCAATTAGCAGCACCAGTTTCTGATGAGGTGGCTCCGTCTTGCTGTGCCTTTTCTTTACCATCCCTTCTTCAGGCTGCAGGGGGGGACTGCAGTCTTGGGGGACAAAGGTCATGCCAACTTCAGTGGCTGAGGGGGAAATTCTTGGGACCTGGCAAGGCAGAACAAAGCCCTTCTCTTGGGGATAAGATAGGGCGTCCAATGCCAGCTGCCCTCCTGACAGGCTTTGAAACAGTGGGAAAATGGTTTCACTTCTGAGTTTCAGATGCGTTACTTGTAAAAGAATGAAAACAACTCTTCCAGGAGGTCATCAGAGTTAAGTGAGCTCACAGTTGTTAAGAAGTCTTTTGTAAACCATAGCACTTTATAAACTATTTTAATTTTTATTGTAGGAGAATGCGCTGCACTATTAGGGATGTTGTGACGGTGGGTTCAAGTACTGCAACACAAGCCAGCATCACATACAGGCAAACCCTGATGTCCGGAAGCGTTCCATTCCCACGCCAGTCCACCTTAAGTTGAATCTGATGTAAGTCAAATACTGGATTTTTTTTGTTGCTTTTCACTATTATTGCCTTTTGATATTGCTGTCTTATAAATCCAGCCTTTATTGTCCATGGGGGTAATATTGCATCTGAGAATTATCTGCTACCCACGTTGTAAGTAGGACCTATTACTGAGGGTAAGATCTATTTAAAAAGATGGCCATAAGTTCATTTTACTTGGCTCCACAATCAATGCCCTTTGAAGCAGCAGTCAAGAAAGCCAAGGCTGTACTGCATGGGGCAAAGAGCAAGAACGTCCCTGCGAGGACTAAGGTGCACCTTTCTCTCGGCTCGTCTTACTTGGACAATGACTAAGGAAGCCGAAAGGACCGAGGTCTTTGAATTACGGAGTCGGTGAAAAATATTAAAAGTACCGTGGACTGCCAGAAGATCAAATCTGTCTTGGAAGAAGTAGAGGCGGAATGCTTAGAAGTGAAGATGGCAAGGTTTTGTCTCATGTACTTTGTTACCAGGAGAAGGACGGCGTGTTCGCTAGAGTAGAGGGACAGAGAAAAAGGAGATGCTTGAGGAGAGCGATCAACACAGGCTGCAGCGATGAGCTCAACCACCGTGGTTGGGAGGGTGCTGCCACAGGACCAGCAGTCGGTCCTTGCGGGGTCATTCTGGGTCGGAACTGACTTGATGGCACCCAACATCAAGTTCCTAAGTGGGGGCTGTCCTAGCTCGAATATGCCTGAAGTTGGGGACTGCCTGTGATTTGTTGATGTCTGTCTCCTCCCAGGCTGGCTTCCTGCCAGCTAGGGAGCATGCTGAATTCACTGTCACATCCTCAGCCCTCAATACTGCTCAGCACCCAGAGCTCATCACACACCTGTCATCTGAGAGTGAGGTTTGGGAGCTCCCCTTATCCCTTATCAGCCCAAATAGCTCCTTCCAATACTACATGGGTTTTCCAATTCTATTCTTCCACAAAGTTGTAACTTCACCTCTCAGTTTCCCAACTGATGCCACACTTGTCTGTACACATGCCAAGATCTTGGGCCTCAACTCATCCACGTCTTCCTCTCCTCCGTCAAAATGATATGCACATCTTGCAAGCATTAAGACATGTTTCAAGCACTCTTCTGCATTCTTTCTATGTTAACCCAATTGAAAAACAAATTGGGGTTGGGGTGGGGAGGAAGCACTCAGCCCCCAAATCTCTACATTTTCCTATCTCTACTAACTTGCTATTGGTGAGGAATTGCTGGTAATGCCTGATAGGAGTCGCCTAGTATCTGTGGGACTCACTCCACCCCCTAATCAGCCATGCCACATGCCTGCTGTGAGCGTGGCTCTCCCTAACCTCCTCCTGCAGGCCTCTGGCAGGGAGCCAACGGAGAGGACCTTGCAGTACCACCCACCCATCTTCTTAGTCCTTGCCGCTGCTGGTGAGAAACAGGTAAACATGGCGCGTTTCACTAAAGCTGGTTTTGATTTTATATCAACCCCACCAGAAGACAACATCACAGCAAAACTTCAGCCCTCGTCAGCATTGAAGACCAAGAAAGCGAGCTTTCCTGGGGGTGGTCGTGGCTTCTAGCCATCGGGGTGACTGCTTGCCAGACACTGCTTTTGATTCTTCACAACACCCTGGAGGGAGTTTCCATTCCCTCCCCTCGAGTCCAGTCATCCCGTTAGCCCTCGGAGGAAACCCAGGTGGAGGATTCAAATGAATCCCCCAAGGGCACAGAGTTCATGAAGTGAGGAAGCCTGGATCTAACTGGGCAATTGCTCCAGATTCCATCCTGCCAGCCCAGACCATGCTGCCTCTCACCGCTGACAGTGTCTGACATGGCTCCCTCAGCTGACATGGTGGATGAGGAAGGAGTGCACAGGAGGTCACATGAGGGT